GGCTAAGCGCCAAGTTTGTACCTCGGGCACGTCGTAGACGAAGGTGGAGTTAGACCAGAAGACGTAAAGATTGCAGTGATTAGGGTCTGGCCGACCTGCGTACACTCACAGAAATGCGTTAGTTCCTAGGTCTGGCCAATTACTACCGAAAATCCGTGCGCAATTTCACTACCATCGCTCTCACCGCCGTGTAAATTGCTAAAAAAGGAAACCGTTTGCACTTCCGCGTTCAAGAAGTTGAAAAAGTGCTTGATTGAATATCCAGTTCTTAAGACAACAAATCCGTCTCTTCTGTTCATTGTCATGACTAAAGCGAGCTAGTATGCCATTTGCGCCGTGCTCCAACAGAATGATGGGATATGCAGACTACCTAGTGAGAAGGTCACTGCCTCAACGTATGAGAGAGAGTTGTGTGATGACCCGACCAAACACGGACTGAGACACACAGTTAATTTCTGAATTTTGCTCATGGACAGAATGTCTTGCTGAGTTTCCCGCTTGCTAGTAAGTTCTCTAAGTCTGTGTGTGTACACGCTTACTGGTTTGCATGTCTGTGTGTTTGCACGCTTGCTGGTCTTCATGTCTGTCTGAGTGCTGGTTGGCTTGAGTGTGTGTGTGACTCGCAAGGGCACTTGTTCGTTCGTTGGGCCCTCTGGGCCGGTACTTACCTGTGGCCATGACATTGAGGATTGCAACGGGGGAAAACACTCAAGTAGCATGTAGGCCGATACCGCACCCTGAAGAGGTAGATGTGCGGGTACTGGAGGCCGAGCAGAAGAAGACAAAAGTGGCATTTTTAAAGGCCTAATAGTTGTAGGCTAGGTCTAGGCGGGTACCAGTCCAACCAGTCCGAGTCTAAGGCCTGTATGGGCAATATCAGAGTCTGCAATGATGTGTCCTTCCCAAAAGGAGGAGGTACTGGTTGCTTGGAAGGCCGAGCAGCCTGGAAGTCACCACCCAAGAGGCAAGCAGGCCGCTATATCTCCAGGCCGGGCGAAGAGCCCAGTCTCATTGTCGGTGTGCAAGTTTGGCGACACCCTGGTTGGAGCACTGGCTGGTGCAGCGCTAGCTTGGAGCAGCGCTGCTGGGGAAGGAGCAAGGACACGGAGGAGGAAGAAGACCAGGAGGAAGGGGGAGCGCCAGAGGTACTTACCTGGCTATGGTGGCAGCCATCTTCATCACCTTGGTGGGCTCTGCAGCAGGAAGGTCCCCGTTGGGGCAGAGATACACCAAGAAGCTTCGAGGCAGAGTCAGGCAAGGCGACCTGAGCTAGAGCAGCCATAGCTGCTTTGGGTTGTCCTTTGGGCATCAGGGCAAGACCTAGTAGTCCGCCATAGCCACGGCCTATGAGAGTGAAGAGTGAGGGAGGCAGCCATGGCTATGGTGGACCTCATGTGATACCTGCAGTAGAAGAGGGATTCAGACATTATTTATGGTTCAGCCATTCAACATTGTATTATTATTTCTTGTGTGAATAAGAGAGGAGGAGATAAGGAGGAGGAGAGTGTTTGGCGAAGAAGAAGATCAGTATCATTTGTCTATGCTGGTGTACATCATCTTCTTCTTCTTTCTTCTTCTTCTTCTTTTTCTTCTTCTTCTTCTTCTTACCCTCTCTCTCCTCTCAAGTTCATTCATTTCTTTCTGCAATTGGATGGCATTGTACTGCCTGATGAATGTGTACTTCGAAATTGGCCAGGATCGTAACAGTTGTACGCTCTGAGACAGGCTTTAGATCACTGGCGACATTACCTCCTAGGCCAGCACTGCAAAGTGTATTCTGATCACGAAACGCTTAGATGGTTAAAAATGCAGTCCCGCATGACTCCAGTTGACTAGGTGGGCTGCATAGATTGACTAGTTTGACTTCGAGCTAAAGCCAGGCAAAGGCAAGTATAACGTCGTAGCCGGCGCCTTGAGTAGGCGAGCAGACTTTTTTGGCGCAATAGTGAAGTATCTAGACACAGGCACTGAACTGCAACAGAAAATTAAGGCCGCGTACGCGAAGGATTCCGTCTATAGCGACCCTAATTACGAAAGTACAGACTGCGCCTCATGAAGTCCTAGATCACCAAATGGTCGACGGACTGTTGTTTGAGAAGACCGATGTGAGCGATAGGCTATGCGTTCCGAATGATGAAGAGGTTCGAAGTTTGATCTTGGGCGAATGCCACGACACCGAAGGACGTTTTGGTTGGAGGAAGACGTACACGGCTGTCCTCTGGTCCTACACGTGGCCCGGAATGAAGCACGACTCTATCACGTACATCCAATGTTGTAAAGTCTGTCAACTGAAGAAGAGTTCCACGCAGGCGCCGCTAGGACTGCTAGAGCCCTTGCCTATCCCGTCAGGCCCGGTCCGTGTCAATTGATTTCCTGGACACGAAGGTTAAGGGTATAAATGGTAAGAGTCAAGTAATGGTGATAGTAGACATATTTAGTAAGTTTGCTGTTTCCGTTCCACTGCCTGCCCAGACAAAGACTGAGTTAGTAATTAGAGAGTTTTCAATCACTGGGTCAAGGACTATGGGCACCCCTTGACCATTGTGAGTGACCGCGTCACTAGATTTACAGGCGAGCACTAGCAGCAATTAATGAAAGTCTACGGGTCTAAGTTGAGTGTGTCCTCAGGCAGACACCCTGAGACTAATGGACAGACCGAAGAGATGAATAAGCTACTGCAGCGAGTGCTACGTATGCATATTAGACCAGACCAAGAGGATTGGGACGAGCACCTCCCTAAGGTAGCAAGTGTGTATAACAATTCGGTACACTTAACTACCTCGCGGACACCTAACGAGTTGCATAGAGGATGGCGTCCTGGGTGGCCTATAGACTGTTTGAATCTAGACCAGATTCAGAGACTGCTGCCTGGTGCAAGGGAGCTCGCCATACAATATGAAAAGGACTTGGAACGCGTCACTAAGAACATTAGAAAGGCCCAGCACCAGATAATAGAGCAAGCTAATAAGCACCGCAGACCGTCGCAGTTTGCTGTAGGTAACTTAGTCTGGGTCAAGTCCAAGGAGTTCCTCCCCAAAGAACGCATATCGCAAAAGCTGCTGCCAGCTTATCAAGGACCTTGGCAAGTTATCAACATCATTGGGGACGCAGATGGTCCCTCCTGCACGACAGAGATGCCACCTCATCTGCGCACTTATCCCGTTTTCCATGCATCCAAGTTACTTTCCTGCACGGCCACTGAAGAGTTCTCATCACGAAGGTCGATGATCCCACCTGATATGGATGGTATATATGATATTGATAGAATCGTAGCTGAAGATGTCTACCAATCAGGATCAAGGGGACAACCCCAGCGACAGTACAAAGTCAAGAGTTGCACATCAGGAGCTCGAAGAAGATCGCTGGTTCACAAGGGATGAGCTTGTAGAAACTGTGCCCAATATTGTTTCCTACTATGAGAGGGCACGGAAAGGAATCGATGTCGCAGATAGGTGAAGATTGTATTTTCTTGGAGGACCTCGAAATTAGGCCGGTGGGAGTGAAAGGATTTCACGCTGCAGACCCCTAAAAGTCACCCCTAAATCCCCGAAAGTCCAAAAAGGTCCGAAGTCCCAAGTCCCAGCTTCACATAGTGTGGGTCTGTTAGGCCAGTTCAGGGCATCGTAGCCTAAAGTCACAAAACATCCAGAAACCTTAGGTTGAGGTTGAGGGTCTGGCATCCAACAGAAAAATCTAGAGGTTTGAGTCGTTGTACAGCCTGTCCGGTACCCCACAGAAATATCTGGAAAGTCCACGTCCAGTTCCGAAAACCACAAAAATTGCAGCAAGTACCAGGAAAGCCCGCAAGATTCCGGACCGACAAAACGATTCCGACAGACAGGACGTGGCAGATGGGAACTGGTTTGAGCCAGGCCAAGCCAAGTCCAATTCCTATATTTAGCTGCTGCAATGTAGCAATGGACACAGTTGTTCATTTGTGAAGTTGCAGAAGCGCTGCTGCTGCCTGTGTGAGCAAGCAACTTGGGCAAGACTGTGCTCGAGCAAGAAGGGAGCGCCGAAGGTAGCCATAGCTAGGGTAGTGGTAGAGAGGTAGGGCGGCCATAGCCGCCAAGGCCTGAGTCTGATCTGAGCGGGTGTATTCAGGGAGCGATCCAAGGCAGAGCAGAGACAAAGAGGAAGAGAGCGAGAGAGACAGTGAGGCCGAGCGATCCAAGGCAGAGCAGAGAGAGGAAGAGAAGGAGAGAGACAGTGAGGCTGAGCGATACAAGACCAGAGAGAGGAAGAGAGAGAGAGAGAGGAAGTAGTAGTCGGTTACATACCTGATCCGAGTCTGGTTCTGTGTGAGTAGCAGAGACCGCAGGAGACATGTAGACCTTTGTATAACAAAGACAATTGTGTTTCAACCTCTTGTGTGATTCTTGTGTCTCGGATTTCACTGCCAAGTGTGAATACTCATCTGGATGCTCGTTGCATGTGTGTATGAGGTTGAGGGTGGTTGACTTGCGAATCATTGCAGTGGTGTTGTATTTTCCATAACTAGTGCTTGTGCCGCCAGCCATCATGGCCTGGTAGGCCCAAGCCGCAAAATTTTGGAGTAGGTGACAAACGTTTTTCCACAAGGCTGAGGCCGTGTACTGGCGGTTTGTATTATTTCTCCGACAGCAGAGCTAGGTGAACACCAAGAGGAGAACAAGAGAAGCTGTGAGCCAAATGAGGACAACAATTGGGAGGTAAGGCCAAGTAATCACACAGCAATAATGAGTAGCATTCAAGCAACCATTTTGAAGACAAGACGACTCTCTCTCTCTCTCTCTCTCTCTCTCTCT